CTGACTTATGATCAAAAGCCTGGTGATGGAACATGATGGAACTGGTAGATCCTGCTATGCGCAACTACTACAAAGGGAAATTCATGCAAGCTGCCTTGATGCGGCGGATACAAATGAGCCGCCTCGGCCGCTCTTTACCTTTACCTTTACCATTGGAGCGACTGCGAGGCCCCGGTCTGAATGCAGGCTGGTCCTTGAAGTTGAAACTCCAAAGCAAAGGATGGTCTTTAACTTGAACAACTTATAGATATATAGTAACAATAATAATGATCATAACAATTAATATAAACGTATATAAACATATTTGTATGCAAATATATATATATATATATATATTATATAATTTCTGTATATATATAGTTATATGCCACTGAAAAGAACAACAACGACACGCTCTCCTGTTCTGCTTTTTTTTTTGGTGCTCCTGCCTGGAGAGTATCCTGGAAGCACAACACTATAGCCTGAAGTCTTTGGAGAGCTTCACAACAAAACGGTGGATTCGGATGCATGGCCGTGTTGTGGATCAAGCAAAGCAAGCCAACACTCTCACACACTCAAACATCGGCAAAACAAGAAGTCTGACATTGGCAGCACTTTGTTGAGTGTCCACCCAAATTGAAGCAACGTTACGAACCAACGCAAGCTTTTCCAAGAACCTAGTTGTCAAGGATTCAAAGTCCTTAAAGCCGTTTCTTGTGAAACAATCTAAAGGCTGAACTCTTTGTGTTGTCTCGTTAATCTTGGCCCCGTACATTCTCTCCTTACGTAGTGAGCAGCGAGCCTTGGATTTGTGCTTTGTCAACTGCTCCTTGGCTCCTACCTTACAACCCGAATCTGTATACTGTGCATACCTGATTCTACTGGCTTGGGTTCCCAGGTTGAACAAGTTATGAGGAAATCTGAAACCGTGCTTGAACAGTTTCCATTCAAAAACTCATATGATGCGCATGATGTTGTTAGCATCTTCTGCATAACCAACTAAAGAATTTGCACCTTCATAAATTCAGATAAGACGGCATCAACAAAAAAGTAAAACATTAGCAAGAAAACGATGAAGCATCCTCAACAAGCCCCTCTCTTGTCTTTTTGAAATTGGATTGTCTGTTGCCTTGTGTTGCACTGTCTTTACACCTAATCAGCTCCCACTTCGACCAGCACCGCAGTCTCACCGACACCATGCCACCCGTTTGCGGTGCCCTTCAGGGGAAACTGTGCCCAGGAACTCATCCAAAAGCTGTGACGCATACGGGTGCATCCCCTTCATCCCTGGCGGTTCGCGACGCGTCGTGGGTGAACGGGTGAAAGACTTATGTTTGTTTATGTGGATGCGGCATGAATCAACCACTGGCTAGCAAGCGGTTAGTTTGCTGGACACAATGCTCTAACTACGGAATGACATCACAACGGCCAGTCTTTCTGAGTGTGACAGAATGAGTGGAATAGGCGGACACGATGAACATCCATGTTCTAGAATTGGGAGAGCGCATGGAATATGAATGGAATCCCTGCAGTGTAGTCCAAGAGTCCACCACAGAGTCCTTGGAAGTTCCTGTGTGGCTTCTGAATTCTGCTTTGGTCAAAAATCCTTCAGGCTCCACCCTCAGGATTTGGTGGGGTCATGAGCATGGTGAACGCGGGGACAGCGTTGGTCCAAACTGAAAACAACCTAATGTGGACACTGAAACCTGGAGGACAATTCTCTTCCATGATGACTTTTAGTTGGGAGGTCCGACCGCATTGGCCTCCGAAGTAGGTTCTGGCACTTTGTCCTGTGAGTCGCAGGTCTTGGTTCACCAAAGCGGTGAACACTCTGGGCACGAGGGCAAACTCAGGTAAGCACGCACTGTGTGTGTAGATATAATATATATATATGGAGTCTGTACAATATACTGTCAGTGTGTATAGAAGAGACAGCCTAACATGATGTTGGAATTATCCAAAGAAACCAAACAGTTGCAAAAAGTTCATACCATCGTTACTCAGCACCCGAAACAATGTACTGAGCAAGCGCTGAGGCTTCTGAACTGTGTTTCTTCGACGACCACATACTGCAGGTGTCTACAAACAAACTCTGCAAGTAAGTACAGATTCTAGATCCATTGTGATGACAATCAGCCCCTCCTGGAAAAGGCAATGAACTGCCTGGCTGGTAGCACTGCATGGCGTGACCAGCCTGTCCACGCGTGAATATCAAGCTGTTGCCAGCCATTTTCCACATGTTTTTTTCCACCTACGGCAAGGAAAACACCGAAATCAAACCACCAATCTTATAACAAACCGTTGTCAAGCAACCTCAAATAAACAACCCCAAATCTTCAAAGGTAGAAAGAAACAGAAACTGTTTGACACTTTGCATTTTCCATCCAGTCAGCACTGGTGAGAGGCTGGTTCCAAAGCAAACAGAAGCCCCTGCCTCCTTTCTGCTTAGTTCAACACCAGCACGTATTTCGTACACAGGTAGAATAGAAACATTCCACATGATCACAATTGTTTAAGAATCATCATGGCTGTATCGAATTCTTGTGTCAACTGCAGGGCCTCTACTGCGAGGCTTGAACAAACAGGGACTCCTTCTTGTTTGGACAAGGTGTGGGCTTCTCTGATTTTGCAACGAAGCGAACTACTGATTCCAGAAACGAACTCGGACGAGCTCCTTTGCTGTCTCGCACTCCAATGCAAAACACTTGCTGCAATTCTGCGGCATGAGACATACATAGAATGCAAGCCTCCAACCATGCTCGGGTCTGCCAACACCAACTAAGAATTATATACAAAGACTTGACTGACTCTTAATACACCCCATCTTTATTGGGTCCAAAAAGATAACTGTACTTCAATTGACCCCTACAGTGCGATTTCAATCAGCTGCTTTCATGCCATGGTGAGGAGCATGTTGCCATGGTCACGGGCTTTGTGGTTTTCGATTTTGCTTGCGGGTCCTCGGGTTCGGGGTTGTTTGTGATTGTTTTGTACTTGCGTTTGTGATTGTGCTTGTGGATGTGATTATGGTTGTGTTTGTGGTGGTGTGATTGTGGTTCTGTTTATGATTCTGTGTTTGTGATTGTGTGGTTGTGGTGTTGTTTCTGGTTGTGTTTATGATTATGTGCTTGTGACTGTGTGCTTGTGGCTGTGTATTTGTGATTGTGTTTGTGGCTGCATGTTGCTGATCTTGTGTTGTGTGTTGAGGGTTGAGGTCCGAGACTGCCCACTGAGAAATCTGGCGCTTTCGGTTGAGGTCCGGTAGTGCCCACTGGGATCTGGCACTTGTTGTTGAGGTCCGCAGTGGGCGAGGAGAAGACGGAGGAGGAGTTGGAAGGAGAAGATCTCTGATAAAATCTAACAACCCTCACCTGGCAGGTGGGGACAAAAAGGTTACTGCGTCCTTCCACCTTCAAAGCTTTCAGCACTATATTCGATTCCAAAGATCTAGATCCATCTGATGCTCACCAATCGCTGCAACTTGGAGTAACAGTAATAAACAACTGGAACTGGACCCACATGTTGCTTGACCGCCTCTTTTTGACCACCAACAAAAAAAAAGCCAACTTCAGCTGCCGGTGGCTTCTAGGCAGCCCGGCACGTGGAGATGGACTAAGAGGGCTTTGCGTCACAAGGCCTGGGCGACCGAGTGAGTCCTGCTGTGCTTGGATAGTACTCCTGAGATGAAGAGCGGTGTATATAGGATAGACCGTCAGACAGGCGTACAGGTCATTTGGGTCCTGCTCCAAAGAAGTGGTGCAACGTCATCTGGAGGATTGAAGCCGGTTTCGATCCGTTTCGCTCCCTTCGAGGGCTCCACTTGGCTGCATCCTGCACCGGCGCGGCGCGTGGCTTCCGGTCAAGCTTTGAGGGTCCTTTTTCTGCCTTGACATCGGCTTCACACAATGCAGAATGGTGCTGAACCCATCTGAACACATCTGAACCGAAGATTTGTTGTCGTTCCATTAGAACGTTCCAAGTGGAGCCTTTTCTCACCAAGCAAATAATACCATTCGGCCATTCGGAAATGACTTGGCTGGTAAGGTTTCGAGAGTGGGTGACAGCAGCCGGATGTAGCCATGTAGCCCCAAAGTGGTGGGAAGGGACTGCGGCCGCCAGTGACAATCCCTTTGAAAAGGAAACGTCTTCAAACACGGAGCGCATGATCAAAAGATGTCGTGGCTTCTCTACTGAAACGAAGTGTTATGTTTTTTTCCGAGGAATAATGGGGAATATGAACGAGTGTCTCAGTGTCACTATAGTTGCTAGGTCAAACCCAAAAACAATCGAACAGGTCGAGTCTCTTGCCTTCAGTGGGCCTCCGTGTTTCCAAGATGGGCACTGATATCGGGCCAGAATTCAGCGGGCGGACCGAACATGGACAGGTCTTCCTCTGAATGGAGAGTTTCGTGCAGACCAAGGCAATTGGAGCAGGCCACGTTGGCATACCAAATGCAAATGACGAGGTCAATAAACAAAGAAAACATAGAAGAAGTAGTAGAAGTAGAAGTAGAAACATAAATTTAACAAAACACGGACACAAAAAAGAAGGAGAAACACAGCAGAACAAGGAACAAGGATGATAACAAAAACAACAACTGTTACTACTCCAACTATAAGGGCTCCTGGACCAAGGTCGTGTGCAAAACAGACGTCTTTAATCCCGATCCCGACTATTCAAACAGCAAAAGCTTAAGAAGAATCCATATATCAGCCACGGTGGATGCTTTCTGCAGATTTAAGAGTTCTTCAAGCCTCATGCATCAACCTTCCGCTTATCGTGGAAAAATGGATATAAACATTTTTCAGGCAAACAGCGTGTTGGCAAAACCTCATTAAAGGCGTGTTTGTCATACATCTCTGGCCAGCTAGACCTTAAATGTTCTGCTCTAATTCCGAAACAAATCAGCGAAGGGTAGCGGTTACCAAAACCGCCTGTTCAAAACATTGCAAACTGCCAATGATAACCAGGCTTGCTCATCATGTCGGAAGCCATCAGACTTGCAGCCAATGATTTTAATGTTCACCATCCAGGTTTGAGGATTCTGCAGCTTCTGTTCAGCTGCCATGAAACAGCCCTCAGGTGGCACGTGAAGTCAGCCGGCCTGTGGCAAATCAAAGTCAGCTCCCCTGCTGGTCTTTGTGGTTTTGGGGGGGTCAATGTAGGGAAATATTCCATACACGGAGTGCTGGGATATGTATTAAATATACATGTATATAGTTATATAGTTATATATATATATGTATCATATATATATTCAACACAAATGCTTGTCAGAAACCAAAACGACCGCGCGAACAAA